CACACACACACACACACACACACACGCACCCCACAACCCCCCTCCCGCTGTTCCACTCTGAAACCCTTCAAATGAACCAACCTTTGGCTCCGGGCCGCCACTCATCTCTGCGAGGCGAGAGCGAGACGAATGCAGTTCAAATGAATGTCGAGCCTCGTTATTGTACCTGTGGGTTAATAAAGTTTAGTTTCTCAAGAGCCTGGCCTGTCTTTCCTTGTGTGTCAACGACGCTGCTGTTCAAGTGTTGGAATAAATATGACTCAGTGCGTCACTAATAAAGAAATWATAAACCTCTGGCTCTGGAAAAGAAACAGTCTCAATTTAATTAGGGCTCGAACTCATTTCTGCTCATTTTGTCTCAAGGGGTCATTTTGAATTCAGTCAGCAGCTAATTTTTAATAACACTCCTGTCTAAATTTAGCTGGATCTTAAAGGGATAGTTCACATGTTGTGAGTTAAGATAGCTGCTAAACAAATGGCTTATTTTGACCAAAATAATACGTTAATGGCTCATCTGCATATTTCTGATGCTTACCTATGTTCGATAGTCTAATTAGGTTTTATTCAAATTAAGCTTGTGTGTGTAAGCTGTGGCATCATCAGACACATCTGTTGGTGTAAAAACAGTATGTTGATGATTTTAGTTGTTTTTTTTTTATTATTTTTCAGTAGCTGTATGTGATTAATCAGTTGTCTGCTTCTCGTTTAGATGAGATTAAAGTAAGTCTTTTTTCTGTAGCAGAGCGTGAAGTAAAATTTGGAACAAATTTGGAGTAGATCAAAAGAGACTCAATAAAAACCTTTTGTATTTGTTAAAACATGTCAAATAGTTTTCCAAATGTAAGTGTATATTTTTATCATTGGAAAGAGAGGCTACAATGTTTGTGTTTGTTTCGTCATCAGCCAGCGAAAACTGCCACGACTTTCACCCCATGTTCTTCACCCATGATCGCTCCTTCAAGGAGTTTTTCTGCATCTGCATCCAGCTGCTCAACAAGACCTGGAAGGAGATGAGAGCCACGAGTGAAGACTTTAACAAGGTATGATGAACGGGTTTGTTTCAGCGAGGTGAAGAAAATAAATGTCATTGTGTTTTTATTTCTATGCTATAGTATAAACTGGCTGTAAACGTCTGGGTAAATGAAATATTTATGCAGCACCTTTTTCTGGTTTAAAAGAGAATTARAATTGATCAAAGTGAAATGAACTTTTATAAAAGAAAAGACACGAGCAGTAAGTGTCCGTGTAAAACACATTAAGCTGTGTTTTGTGAACAATCATCACGGCTCACAGTAAAAATGAGGTAAGTTTATTCTGATGATTTTTATTTTTATGATGTAAAAATAAAGCATATTTGATAAATGTTTTACCATTTGTTACTAATGTTATCTTTCCAATAATGT